AAAGAGATCTTGAAATTGCTCTTGCAACTTCCCAATTACTGATCGATCTCCTGCATCACAGCGTGGTGCCGCCTCTCTGAGGACCAGGGCAAACAGGATTGTGTTTTCCTTCCAAGATGCTATCAACCCGTTACCATTCACCACGTGCAAGGCCGGTGAGACAGATTCAGACTTGTCTCCTGTTCCAGCGGAGTGAGGTAATAAACGCAATCGTTTGTTCTTCCATTCCAACGTATAGGTATTGGCTCTTCCATCATAAATGGCACCCACATCGAATTGCCAAGGTCGACCAAGAATCAGATGGCATACATCCATTTCCACAACATCACAAAGCACCTCACACGTGTAATGTTTTCCAATTGAAAACTGAACTCTACATGTGTCTGTCACAGAAATCTCCATGCCCCTTTTAACCCAGCTGATTTTGTATGGTTGTGAATGTTTCGAAGTCTTAAGCTGTAGCGCTTGAACCAAGGCCTTCGACACAACATTCTCAGTACATCCGCTATCAATAAGCAGATCACAAACTTTGCTGGCTATCGTACATTTGGTTTTGAATATGGAATGTCGTTGTGACGACACTTGCTTCCGCGGAGCCAATAGTAACTTTTCTAACACACAAACCACCGGCTCTCCTTCATCTCCGACCACATCTTCAATTTCAGCTTCCAGTTCTGCTTCAAGTAATTCGACATCTTCTTCGGTTTCACCATCCATAAGTTGTAACTGTTGGCGATTGGGGCACTCGTTGGATTTGTGTCCCGGCTGAAAACACCGAAAACACTTTAGACCCTGAGGTCGGGGATACGGATTTTCCTTGAAAGGCAATTTCGGCTTTACTGGAGCTTTGGGGTCGGAAGTCGACCTGACCGGATTTGCAAGTCCACCGTTATCAGCTACTGGCGGCGTTTTTCGCATCACCGTTCCAGGTTGTTTAGAGAATTCAGCACCGGAATCCGCAAATTGACGTCGGTGTGAGCCACTTCGCAAATGTCTACCCAGCTGCAGTTCGGCTTTGAGCGCGAAGTTCACTGCCTGTGACAGGGACCAAACCGAATTCAACTCTAGTTTATCTTGAATGCTGTCCTTCAAGCCTCCAATATAGCGCGCTACCAACTGATTGGTTGTCTCATTCAAGTCGTTTCTGGCCGACAGGTTATAGAAATCCTCTGTGTATTCGTTAACAGAACGATTACCCTGGGTACAATGCTGATATTTAAGGTATAACATCTGTTCATAATCTGTAGGTAGGAAGTGCCCCCGCAACAACTGCTTCATCCTCGTCCAGCTGCGCACGGGTCCGCGTCCCTCCCTACGCCGGGATTGCAGTAACTGCGTCCACCACGCACTAGCTCCTCCTTTGAGCCTGCACGCGACATATTTAACCTGCTTTTCCGCTTCAATTTCCATATAATCAAAAAAATTCTCCACGGACCGCTCCCAATCAAGGTAGTCCTCTATGTGCAACCTTCCGTCAAAGAACGGTATATCCAGCTTCACTTTAAACTCACCCTGATGACGATTCCGTCCCAAATGACGCCGCGGACGGCGATCTCCCAATTCTGCGTCTGAATCAGAGAAGCCATCTGGATTGAAACTGAAGCGCTCCTCCTCCGAATCTGATAGCTCCGGCAGCAATGCAGGCCGATGGCGGCCTCGAATAGGGTATCCTCTATTACCTTCTACTGGCGTGATGACGTTGGTTGCTGGTCGTCCGGTCTGGAGCGGAACTTCTCCAGTTCGAGCGAACAATGGATCTCGGCGTAAGACGGCAGCAAGACGATCAACAGCAGCAGCCAAATCGTCCAACCGCTTCTCTACTCCAGCGTGCGCAGCCCAAAGTGCCTCCAAACTTCGGTTCTCGTCGCTCGTCGCACGCTTGCTGGACTCTGCCATCTCTCCAAGCCTCCGGCTCTGATACCAAAATGGTGTGGTATACAATGGAAGAAGCAGGTTCACAAGGTAAAAACAAGAAGGCAGGAACACAATCAAGGCTAAAACCCTTTGGAATACTTCATTAGCTGCCGACTTCATCTTCTCCGGGAGGAGAAATACAGTAAAAGGCTTTGCTAAAAATAGCTACTGCCAAACGAAAGCACTAAAAGTACTATTGGCTAACTATGGAAAATAAAAAGTAGTGGAGCAGACATAACTAACGGCCTGCATAAGACAAAGCAATATTAATTAAAGCATATGTATTAACTAAGATAACTAAGTAATGAGTTAATTCAGCTTTCGGTCTTGATGCACCGCATCAGCGTGCTCCCGTCGTTTGCTTCCGATTCGATGAGAAGAGAGGGAGAAATCGAAAGACTTGCGGCTAGGGCTTGGGATCGGTCGGCTTTTGCTCGCGGAGAGGAGGTCGGCAACAAGCGCCGTGGGTTCGGTTGAACTCGGCTGGAGCTCGGCGATGGGTAACTCACGGGATTTGGTCGAAGAAGTGGAGGTAGGGGCTTCAACCTATCTCTCTCTCTCTCTCTCTCTCTCTCTCTCTCTCTCTCTCTCTATCTAAGCCAAAGAAGCAAGGTGGTTGGGAGCTTGCAGGAGAAGGATGGAGGTCGTGGGATTTGGGAATGGGAAGAAGCAGGGAGCCGAAGCCTCTTCGACCTCTATTTATTGACGCTGAGAGGAGCGGAATCGAGGTCGTTGTCGCGGGTTTTATGCAAAAAATTTTGGGAAACGATGCGAACGGCGACGAATTCAGCGAGATTTGCGACAGAATTCGCGGATCCAACAAGCATAAGGTATGTATGCGGGATTCATAGCTTCTTCCCCCTTCTTGTGTTGTTTATACAGAGGTTAACAACATCGAGGTGCCTTTTGGTGTAATGGCTGACATTTTCGTAAGAAACTCTGCAGTTAAACGTGCTCATCCTGGAGCACTTTTAGGATGGGTGACCTACTGAGAAGTTACACCAACATGATAAAATCATGAGGCTCTTAGATCAAAGCGGACAATATTTTGATAGTTAAAAATTTGGGTTGTTACAAGTGGCATGGTGTTGCGCAATGGGTTATTTACCGTCTTATGCAGGTAGGTTGTTGCGCAGCACTAAACTCTCATTGGCAGGTATTGATCATTTGAAAGACGCACGAACTTCCTTGAAGAGCCTGTTAAGAGTTTGAGTTGTTACAGGTGGCATGGCATTGTCCGTTTGTATGAGTGTTGCAGATTCGATGGCATAATTTAACAGAACGTTGAGCTTCATTTGTTGCGCATCAGCAGTGCTTTTAACTCATTTCTTCTTCTGCGAGCTGTCATCTTCTTAAATATTCAGCCTGTAGGAGTATATTTCTGCCACTATATACGCTGTGCGGTGCATCAGGGGCCTCATACCTGTCGCTTGCAAGTAAGTTGATATATGGTGTGATAGCCTGGCTCTGCAAATTTACTGCCTCAATTTATCAGTGGCCCGTAGCTTTTACTACATATTCCAAGCTCATACTTACAGGTGAATCGTAGCGTTGCGTTATGGGTTATTTCATGCACTGACGAATCTCCTGCAGTAACTTGTAGGTATTAGCCTTTATCACGGCCCTTTTGTATTTGTTGGTGGATAGCATATCGTATACATGACGAGTCTCCTACAACGACTTGTAGGTGTCTGCGTTTGATGAAGGCCTTTTGTATTTGCTAGTAGATGGCATGTTGTGTATATGACATGTCTCCAGTTGCTACTTGTAAGTGAGCAGTTATGCGCATGACGAGCTATCTACGATGACTCTTAGAAACTAGAATTCAGCATGAATTTGTTGCTTCTAATGGTAGGAAGTATGTCGTGCTCACGGCAATTCTCATTCATGTTTGCAGAAGCTCCATCACGTTGGTTGCCCGTTGCTTGTTATCATCCATAGGACTGTTGCACAATGCTGATTTTATTAATAATGTTTGTGGGCAAGTTTTATGTCTTGCTTGTGCATTCACCACGTCCTTCTTGGATATGCTTGTAGCAAAATCATTACACTTGCACCATGCCTACTATTATTATTCGTAGGCGACTTAGCGTATTTGTTTGAAGTTAAGTGGCATTGTTTGTTAGCTGCATTCATTACTGATTTCTTCATGTATGTTGGCTGGCGAGTTGTCATTTAATGCACATTTATTCCTCCTGCATGCAGGGTACTATTGATGTAAGTGTTGCACGTTGATTATTTTGATCTTCGCTTGCCAACCAGCAGTGTTTGGAATTTCACCCGTTGCAAATTCCCTACTTGCTGATTTATGTTCGTTTGAGTGACTTGAACTGTCATCTAGCATTTATATTTTCAATTTGCTAGTGCATTTTAGAGCTTAAGGTCTAGTTCCCTGCATTTTAGTTGAAGTTCTGTTCCCTATAGTTCATTTAAGTTTCATGTAGCTTTTGTTCAAATCAAGTCCCCTATTTGCTGGAAATTTTGGAGAGCTGGGCCTACCAATGTAGACACTGGAAGGCCCAACTAGACACTGGAAGGCCCAGCTCTAGTTCCCTACATTGGTAGCCTCCCAGTGTCTCATCTGTTTAGAAAAAAATTGGAGAGTTGGGCCTTTTCACCATGCTACGAAGAGCATGTATAGTAGATGTCGGGCAACATCACGATCATATTTCTTCAATCTCACCATGCTACGAAGAGCGTGTATGGGTCTTCGAGGCACATATTTAAAAACACAGTTTTTTCCCGCAGACATGATAGCACATAAACGAATACTTAGGGTTGTCCATGCCATGCTACGAAGAGCATGTACAGGGCCTACTAGCCTTGGCGCAAGCCCCGCACCAGGCTCCCTTCCACCACGCTATAAAGAGCGTGTATAGGTGGTCCCTTGGCGCACCGCGAGCACAGAAAGTGAGATTTTGGAGCTTTTCCAGAGTTTGGAAACACTTATACCTTCACAAGCAAGGTGATGGCGGTGACAGCGAGGCAACAACAATGACGAGCATACAAATTTTTTTTTTTGAAAACTCTCTTTTTTCTTCTTTTTTGGTTTATATATATATATATGTATAGAGAGAGGAGATTGAGATATAACTGCTGTTAGTTCAAGTGAGAGAGATGGGGTAGTACAGGAAATATGGACTGATTCAGTGAAGTGAAGGGAAAGTGGTTTTGGTAGTATAGGTAGTGTGAGCTTGCTGTTGGGTGGAAAATGTGAAGGCTGTTGGGTTAATTGGAGGGGACGGCGGCGTGATTTTTTGTGAGCGGCTGCGGGATAAAAACTGAAGTCGACGACTTAGTCGAGTGTGGGCTAATCGAGCAGAGAAATAGTGAAACAGACAGAGGGCTGTAGTTTCACGTGTATGGGAGCTGAGGAGGATGGCCGCTAACCGCGTGTGGTACAGGTCGTGGAGTCCGACTATAGCAAAGAGGAGCGGGTTGTGCGTGTAGAGTCGGAAAGCTACGACAGTCTGGTACAGAGGCTGGAGCGATCGAGCGAAAGGTTCGAACATATGTGAGGCTTAGAGGTGTGAAGGCTGGGATCTGGGTCGGTACAGCAAGAGGGAGGTCAGCTGGATCTGGGTGCTCGGGGTTTTGCCGGTGTTGGCGAGTAGAGGCGCCGGCTACTGGGTGAGGTGGAAGTCGGATAGGGGAGATCGGACATGAAAGGGGCTGGAGGCTGCTCGACATGTGGAAGAATGGGATTGTGGAGTTCGTCGTGAGGTAGAGGATACGGGAGTGGGAGGTTCGGGTTATTTGCAGCTGTGAGAATCGAAGGTTGGGTGGTATGTCCGGTTGGAGATTCTCATGTGTCGAAGAAGAGCCGAAGGCTCAGGTGAATCTCATTTTAAATGAATTTTGAAGAACTATCAAGAATCCTATGTTACTACATTTTTCTAATAAAGCCGCTAACAGCATGGCTCATGATCATTTTCATTATGATCAAACCAAATATATGGAGATAGATAAACATTGCAATAAAGAAAAAAGAAATCCAAAATGAAGAACTTTGTATTCTATATATTCCCTTCCTCAATCAAACGGCTGACATTCTGGCAGAAAGGATTGCCTAGACCCCTATTTGAAAAATTTGATTGATAAGCATAAATTTTTAGTTATTGACAAACCCATTTGAGGGGGAGTGTTAAATATTTTTTTTCATTGAAATTGGAAAGAAACGCTCAGCTTCCTTATAAGCTTGCCGTTATTGAAGGCTGGTGTGCTAGCAGGCCTCCCAAGGGTGAAAATCTTGGCTTATTGCAGCTATTCGAGCATCTATGTTGTAGGACAGCTGTGCATTAACTGATAATTGCTGGAGATGGTAGGCAGGCCCTCGGATTGGTGTCTTGGAGGCTGGACAACGCCTGAATTGTTCACTTGGCAGCTTCAGATATTTAATAGACAATACTTGCTGTGTTGTCTATTGTTTCGCTCATACGGATTCCATCATCTATAGCTTGCAGTAATACAATTGTTGTGGTGTTTTTTTTCCTTTCCTTTCTTTTTAGGGTGTGGTCTAATTCTTCCTGTTTCTACCCATTGTAAAACTCTATAATCAGTGCAAGATTTTGGCCAAATAAACACAATATAGAATTCTTCGTTCTCTCTATTTTTCTTCTTCTTACAAAAAAATAGCGAAAAAGCACAAGCCAGGCATGATGAATGCACATGGATCCTGAACTGTATTTAGAGGGCACATCCATCTTACGCACCAGTGAGTGACTTGTATCATTGAATTTAGAAATTAAATGCCCAACCCCCAGCTACTGAAGATTTTGTAAGGTACAAGTAGAAATGCATTAAATATTGTACAGAAAACTTGGGAAGCAAAACACTGTTTTTTTCTGCAAAACACGATAAAGAAAATTAGCATACCCTTCCGGTAGGAAGCATTGGTAATAATGGCTCCTTCATAGATGTTGCTGGTGGTGGCAGCTCATACGTCAAGGGTTCAGATTGAGGTTCTTGTGCTTTGAACTTTGCATCTTCATGGATTGCTTGTACCAGTGAGTATGAAGGAAGCGTAGAATAGCTAGGATGCTGTAGTTGATCAGGAGTAGCTAAAGGTAATAATGTATCACCCTGGATTGAACTGAAAAAACTAGTACTCGAAGGCATAGACTGAGAAATCATTCGAAATGGGAGGGATGGAGACTCATTACTTGGACTACTACGAATAGAATTGTTATTTTCAGGTACGGATGTTCCAGGAGCATTGTTATAGCCCAACGGAGGCACTACTGGGAAATTAATACCAAAAATTGAATCAGGATGTGAGTTCACAAGAGATATATTTGGATGAAGACTAAGTAATCGTTTAATATCCAATAAATTAACCTGAGTGGGAGTTACTGTGGCTGGTAAAGAAGTAGAAATTAGATTTGGGTTATATCTGACTGGAGGTTCTAATGGAGGAATAAACTTAGGAAAACTAGGAGTTGTTGTTTTAAATAGTGAATTTATAGTGGGATGTTGCATAGAAGTAGAAACTGAAGTAGAGGTACTGCTGACTAGCGGCGGTAGGAGGCAGGCAGCCTCATGAAAGCCAAGGGTTCCAGTTAGAAACAATGAATTTATATTAGAAAATTGTGCAGGCTGTGGCAGAGAATGAGGAATTGATAATACAGGCGGTGCAGGAAATAAGGGTTTCTGCGGCAAATGAGAAAGTCCACTCGTTGGTTCATAAAATTCTTGCAAATTCATTGGTATTCCAAGTTCAGAGCAATTAGCTACGGGAAGAGTTGATCCCCAAGATTCTATGTTTTTGGCGGTTTGGTAGAGAGGCAAACCATCTTGAAAAATGGACCTTGGATGTGCAGGTTGAACTGCTTGGGAACTCTGATCTGATATACTTCCACTTCCAGCAGTTGATGCAGGACCCAAAGGAGAATAGTGAGACTGCATAAAAATTGGATGTAAAAAAGATACAGTGGCATATTCCTTCATTCAATTAACCAGGTAATGGTGGTGCATTCATGTACCTGAACAATAGCTGGATCATCACGTACGGGTGCACCTATAACAGGTGGCAAGAACTTAACCGACACATCCTGCAAGCAATGCCAGCGGTATATATTTTTATAGACACGCATGACTATCTATATATATTGGAATCATACTATTCAAGGTTCAGAATTTTATTAAAAAAAAAAATTTATAGAGCACACAAAATGGCAATGGAAATATGAATATCGACAAGCAAAAAAAGGAAAGAAAAGAATATTATATTTATCTTAAAGGTCCCACCTCGAATTTTCCGAGAAGAAAATGCTAACAATAGTAGAAAGTTTTAAACAAACTCCAAGAAGAATGTGTAATAACTAACTTAAGCATCATATACTTGTTAGTTGTCAATCTTGCTTTTGATATTAAATTGTTTTACATGCTCATATATCTCTTTTAATGTTCAAAATAAAATATCAAGTTGCATGTATCGCTGCATGTCGAATTAATTCCTATAGTATAAGATCTACTTTTTCATGCATATTATTACGATTGAATATAATAGATTTTTATTCCTAAAATTTTGTTTTATTAGGACAATAGCATTGATCATATTCAGTATGATACATCTATCAAATGCTTGTTTGTGTTTAGTAGAATGTTTATGCCTCTGATAATGATGTGTATACCAATAAAAACCCTTTTCATAATATCTAGCTGAACCAATCATTTCTCAAAGAAATCATTGGATTTCATAGGATTGTTACCTATCCTTCCTGATTTTAGTATGTCATAGTAAATTATATATATATATATATATATATGTATGTATGTAGATAGCTTATGTGATAGCACAATAATGTTAGCAAAAAAGAGAATTGCTTATAATTTATCGTATAAATAATCATGAAAATAATGATACAAGTCAGTGATGCGACGCAATAACATTTAAACTAATGCTTTGTCACATAATAATAGTCATTTGTTGTGTTTGGAGTTCTCAAACTCACTCATTATAATTTTTTTCTTATAATAGATACTACAAGGGTACTTGATAGATCATCACCTCAGGAGCAGATATTTCAGCAGTTGGATTTCATTCAATATTTTTAATTTTATATAAAAGCTTCATTTGTACATCTGTTGGATTTTAGCAGTTTTGCTTATGCAATTGTTTTCTTATAGATCATTATCAGTAGTTATTATTTTTGCTTGTTTGTTTTACTGTTATTTTGGAATTATAAATCTAATAAAATATTATTTATTTTTCTTTGCTTCTCTTACTGTTTATAATTGTTTGTATATAACTTTTCATTGTGAGAGCAAAATAAGTTTAAATTGATCTTAACTTTTGAAACTTGTTTTAAGAGTTGAGGTCAATTTCTTCATCATGCTCAATATTATCAAGATGTACCGAGTTGCAGACACAGGATCGAGTTTCAAACACAGGCTGTAATATAAATAATGCCCATGTCGCTCAAAAATGATTGCTCTAACTCAGATGTTGTTGGAGAATTTGTGTATTCTCAAACGGATTGCATACTTTATGATTGAGCACGGCATAAGAATGATGATATATTACCCCGAAGGATAAAAATATCATTTCTCAAAAAATGATTGTTCTAACTTAGATGTTGTTGGAAAATTTTTGTGTCCTCAAACGGATTGCATACTTTATAATTGAGCACGGCATAAGAATGATGATATATTACCGCGAAGGGTAAAAATATCATTTTCTTATAGACTCAATGATAAAATTTACAATTTTAACAGAGATTCTCCCATTCAATGTTTGGTCGAATAAGGTTTATTTATTTCTGTGGTACAGACCTCCCATAAGGGCAAGCCCCTATGTACATCTCAAGCTTTGGTGCTTGAGAACACTTTTGATTAAACTAATGATTCTCTTTCTTTTGAAAATTATTTTAGACATTGGCTAAAGTTTGATTTTTAAATCCATGAAAGACTTGTTTAAAGGGTTTTGGCCTTTAAGAATTTCAAGGGGTGAAAGGATCAACTTAGAATCAGATTTCTTGGAATGAGGGACAAAGGAAAGAGGCGTAGGATTATTTGATTCTGAGGGGAACTCAAAGATACTAAAACTATCATATGTTAGGATTTAAATTTTAGAAATTTAATTTTTGTTTAAGTTGATATTCATTAGAAGTTTGGGGCTTACATTCCAACACGTGTTGGAGGAATTGCCCGAAAGTTGAGGACTTATATGGTGATTGGAATCAACCATTTGCCTCGGATCCTAGAACTAAGGTGAGAACTACCGAGAGGTAGTGCCTCGAACCTAAGTCTAACGAAATGCAAAAGGGACTTATAAGTTACACCTCACATGAGGTGTAGCCAGTCCGACCCCTGGATTTATTGTCCTGCCCGGAGAGGACTATCAGCTAGACCCACAAAAACGCTTTTAAAACTATGTCTTTTGGTCTCAATACATATGAAGAGTGGAGGGTTGTTTTATTTAGAAAGTAGGGCGTATCACTTGGCTTTGATTCGATTTTAATTTAATTTAATTGGGGTTTAATTTGGGTCGATTTTAGTTATATGACGTTCGATCGAGGTTGGTTCAAGCAAAAACAAAATGTCAAAAAGGACTGCCAATATGTGTGGCGTACTTTTCTCTTGTTTCGTGCATTGAGGGAGTCAGATTGGACACAAATTTGGGTGGGAATTGAGATGAGATCTCAGCCCTAAGTCTCAAATTTTGGTTTTGAGACTCAATCTAGCCCAAATTAATTGATTTGGACTAAAATTGAGTTCGAATTGAACTCGACTCGGATTGATTTGGATCCGATCGAGTTAATTTCATGAAATTAAACTCAAATCGGCGCCGAATTGCGTCGAATTGGGCTCGACGACGCTCGACGGGGTTCAATTTAATTAAATCGAGATTTAATTTGGGTCGACTTTAGTTCTACGACTTTCGATCGAGATTGATTCATGCCCGATTGCGAAAATAAACGTCAACAGATGTATCAATCAGACTTCAAGCATTCAAACAGTCAGTTTGCACCCTACAAACATCATGAGGATGTACTTCAACAATAAACTATTGTGCAAGCTGTAACAATTAACATAAAACATTTTTACCTCAATATCACTTCCATGGAATATTAGTAAATCAAATACTTTCTGACTAGGAGGAACTTGTAGACCATCTTTTTTTCTTCCTTCAGTCCCAAAGGAACGAACTACAAAATATATATAAATGTCAGAGTTAAAGTGAAAAAAATTGGTATGAATGTCATTGGCACGTGAAAACAAAAATAATTGAAGTAATGGTCAGAGAAATTTAGTGAAGAATAAAATCACCAAATGCAATAATAAACTTTTAGAACGTTGATTAAAAATTTTACTGTATTTTTAAAGATGGTAGGGATAGAACCTAAAACAGTTAAAATATTGAGACAATCCTGAATCAGTGGTCAGCCCATTTTAATCAACAGCAATCCAATAATATGGGATCAACAAATTTTCATCTACAATAATTGAACAATATGTGAAAAATAGCTTTATATTTCTATTGCATTGTTAATTCTGGATTCCATAGTTAAGGATTGATTTACAGACTTATCTCTTTCCTGGATAGTTCTTTCTTCAGTTATGTACAATCTTCTTATCACTCTTCTTTCATAGACAAGGGAATAAAACTAAAACATAAACTATACAATTTTTTAATCTCCTTACATTCAAATTTTCAAGATAATATCAAGATAATAACAAGATAATAACAAATCTATTAAGAATATAGTCTCTATGAGACTGACGGGTCCTTTAACATGGAGTCTCTCTTCCAAGCCGATGGGTCCCTCACCAACACTGTATGCTAGTCTTCATTCAACAGGAGTGAAAAAAATAAATGTGAATAATCCTTTTAGAAAGAAGATGGTGGCAATTGACATGAGGCCGGTAATTAAGAAGCCAAGAATTCCAACACTAGAAATCAATCTCAAAATAAAAATCAATGAAGAAATAATAGACTGAAAAATTCCAAATAGAACTAACAATAAGAGAATTGGAAACTCGCTGATAGGAAGTGGATGCAAAACTTTGTGAAAATTTATGGCTGAAATCTGATTTAAGCAAACCTGAAAACAAACCAAAGGAAAATAGGTAGAGGTGTCACACCCCATTTTGTGAAAATTTATGGCTGAAATAATAGACTGAAAAATTCAAAATAGAACTAACAATAAGAGAATTGGAAGCTCATTGATAGGAAGTGGATGCAAAAATTTGTGAAAATTTATGGCTGAAATCTGATTTAAGCAAACCTGAAAACAAACCAAAGGAAAATAGGTAGAGGTGTCACATCCCATTTTGACCAAGAAGTTCCTTATTTCAATTGGATTACATCAAATATCAGCCTTAAGCCCATATCTTTTTTTGTTTTAGTCATGAATGTTCTCACTAGACATTTGAAAAGGTTGTACTCTGGTGTATGCTTTTTGCTGATGTATTCTTCTTGTTGATAAGGCTAGAGAGGGAGTTAAAGCTAAGCATGAATTATGGAGATCAACCTTAAAGTCAAAAAACTTTTGTTTGAGTAGATCTAAAACTGAATATATAGAGTGTAATTTTAGTAATAATAAATCTGGTTGAGGGATTGTGACTTTGAGTGATTAAGGCATTAATAAGAGTACACATTTTCGATATCTTGAACCTATTGTTTAGAGTGATGGTGAAATAGATGAGATATAGTTCAAGTTGGGCTTGAAGTGGAGGAATGCATAAGAATGCATAGTGGTTTTACTCTTAGAGATAGGATACGAGTCATTAGCTGAATTTTTCATTTTGTCACATAAATTATTTATATTGTCTTGTTGTATTTATTGGATGGTTAGTGAATGCATTCCAATTCAAGTAAAACATATATACTTGTTCAGAGTGCATATCTTCTAATAATTTTCACAACTATGTAGGGAAATGTTTGCTTTAACGTCCAAATGACTATCCAAGAAGAGAGATATTTGATGTATAACAGATTGTTATCGGGTCAAAGATGATTGACAGATGAATTTATACAGGGAGTTGAGACTTTCATTCAAGTTGCATCTCAACTGTCTTCCTTTAAGTTCGATGGAATGTTTAGATGTCCATGCTCGAAGCACAAAAATCAAGCATTCCTTAAGCCCGATGATGTGAAGGTTGATTTATATCGTAGAGGATTTATTCTAGACTACAAAATTTGGATCTCACATGACGAGTACGAGCCACACAAAGAAACTCATGCCGGTCCATCCACATCTTTTTAAAATATTTGATGAAAATCAAATGGCTAGACCGTATGAAGAACTTATTTTTGATGTAGCACGCCCTAATTTAAGGGCTAGTGTGAAATAGCCAACAAATGCAGAAATCAAAAAATTCTTTGAGTTACTACATGCAGCTCAAAAACTAATTTGGGACGGTTGCAAAAGTCATTCGGAATTATTGATTGCAGTGAGGATGCTAAGTATCAAAAGTGAATATAATATTCCTCGTGATTGTTTCAATGACTTCATTGATCTTTTAAAGGAAACTAATCCAATAGATAATTCATTAAATTTAATTCCCTCAGATTTGTATCGAAGGAAGAAATTAATATACAAGTTGGGTCTCACTGCTACAAAAATTGATTGATGTATCAATGGATGTATGTTATACTATAAGGATGATGCAACAAAAGTTTATTGTCGCACTAGCATGGGGCCCAATGCGAAAAGTAAAGACCTGGCCAATATATATAATGAATGGGTTCAGATTTAATACCAAGTCGTGGAGTGATTGTCAACTCTGTCGAGCTGTCAACAGAGGATCGGGTTTCTTATAGGCTTCGTGCCTTTATCAGTGAATTCTTTTGATTATAGGCCTTAAAGGCCTAATATGAATGTATTAAAGCAAATATTCTGGTCGCGACGGCCACATATTTGCTTAATGGTTCGAACCCTGTCGACTTCTATTGATCCGTATAGAAGGATCGGGTTCGAACAAGAATTCACTTATTGACCCGCGCAGCATCCCTGGATGTCACGTGTGTACCAATAACACGTTCGCTGGGGCCCATGCGGGTATGGGGGCATTTTATAATTAAACCCTGTCGATTCCTTTTACCTGCTAAGGAAGATCGGGTTTAAAATTTGATAACCCGCGTAACATCCCTAGACGTCACATATGTATTAATAACACGCTCGCCGGGGCCCATGTGGGTTAAGAATATATTTCCCACTTTAGTGTACCTATGTGTATACAATTTATAGTGCACGTGCAGGGGGTATTTTGAAATTATTTGTAGACGCCTTCTATCCGCTTGCATAGAAGTTGCGGATCCGGTGGCGTGGCGTAGCAGCTTCTGAATAGAGTTGTTCGCTGCTTCGTACAGGTAGACTGTCATGCATCATTTGTTGATTTTTGCAGGCGGATCATAGTGCACTAACTAGTCTCCTGCCTTGGTTGTAGAAGCTCATAGGAACTTGTAATCTTTATGTATTCTGCTGTGATTTTGGCCTTCGCAATACGGTACTACTACTGGAGGTAGATGTATTCATCCTTAGACTGAAGTTGACTACAGGATACTGCATTTACTGTAGTCTTTATATATCTACACAGGGGTAGCACATCTATGTCAGTAGAAAGATTGTATGCACTGCATATCTTTCATTCTTGATTGTAGAAGGCTGATATATCTGACTGATGTTGAGTGGTTATTGACTTTATGAGTGATTTAGCACCACTACACATTAATCGTCATCACCCATTAGTGGACTTCTATATGAATGAGGACTCCTTTTTGTTCATTTGTGAATGTTCACATTCATCATACACATCACTATGTTCATTTATAGGAAACTCCATGCTACTGATTGTAAACATATTTAGAACTCCTTCAGGTTTGCTTGTGGAAAACACATTGGTTGTGCAACGGATCTTTTACAATAGCTCATAGGACTTTGTATGCTCGTATCCCTTTGCACTTGTTACATATTTACAATTCAGCTTGAGTCCAACTCAAGGATTTTCCCCAATCTCATCAAGAGTTTGCATGTGTGAGATTTGGAACATTATTCTCCACCAATCATTATAGTCCATTAGGTTAGAGTATTTCACGAATCATTTTGGAGAAATGAAAGTTCAAATCTTTATAGATTCCGGTCCACATTCAAGTTCACCTTCTTTTATTCATGTGACAAGTCTTTTGTAGCCTCTTGAGTTCAGTTCGAGTTCAATCCACTTGATGTATAAATCAAGTTCAATCTCATGTGCACATTTGAGTCTTATGATTTCAAATTTATTTGGGTTCAAATTTATTTAAATCATTTAGATTTTGTCCAAAGTCCAAGTAGAAGTCTTCCGTTGTTCTTCTAAGTTCAATCAAGTCCGGATCTCAAATTGTTCAAGTCCTTGGAGATCTTTGATAGTCCCTCTTTATGCCTTTGTAGATCCCTTAGATAGACTTGTAGTCAAGAAGCTGCTTCAGAATTTCTACAGTTACTTTTGGGCTCAGGTACGCTTTCTTCCCTTCTCTTTTTTTTGTTTTTGATTTTGTGCTCGTACTGATACTGCTTTGTATTTTGTGCAGGCTACTACAAGAAGAGAATCCGAGCTTCAGCCAGTTTACTGCTTCAAGAGACCTCAGTTTTGGTACGTTTTTACTTTGTTTATACTGTTCTTTTCTTTCTTTAGCTGCTTTCTGACACCCCTTTTTTTTGCTCTGCGCAGATTTCGAGAGGAACTGGATACTTGTTCACGAGCCACCTCAGGAGACTTTTGTTTCAGGTACGACTTTTCTTTTTGTAGCCTCTTACATATATTCTTTATAATTCTTCTTTCTGCTGACTTCTCTTTTGCTTCGTGAAGGTCCTAGAAGTGCAGGGTACCTGGTCTTTGGAAGGAGCAGAATAAAGTTGACGGCTTCCTCTACAGGCGTAGTTTAGGAGACATATCGTAGTCCTCTGTGAAGGACATTGTACTTTTCTTTTTCTTTCAGCTGATGTAATCTTGTAAAATCTAAACATGATTAACCTTAATTAATCATGATTAATCAAATATTAATTATGATTAATATAATTAACTATAATTAATTTAACTAATTGTATTTAATTTATAATTAAAACTAATTAATAATAATATTATTATTAAATAAATCCCTCTCCTCTCCTCTCTGTTCGACAAATTTACAGGATTTGGCCGAAAAGCGCGCGTGAGGGAGAGGGTTACCTTCAGCCAGCGAGCTCCCGTGCGTTGCTTCCGATCAAAATGAGTGACTTCCGATCCGAATAGGAAGGGAGAGTCGTCAAATGAGCGAAGTCGAGCGGCGACCGAGGAGATGGAGAGGGGCTCGGGTTCGGTCTGATAGAGAAGCCGCAGGAGGTGACTTGGGGCTGTCGTGGATTTGAGGTGGAAGCTCGACTCGCTCGGAGCTTCGATCGTCGGACAGAGAAGGTGGAGGCTGGCTTCGGGTAAGGACTTCAACTCCTCTCTCTCTCTCTCTCTCTCTCTCTCTCTCTCTCTCTCTCTCTCTCTCTCTCTTAACTGGATGGAGGAGCTCAGGTAAGAAGCTCTCTCTTTCTCCCTCTCTCGGCTTGGGGTCGACACAGGAGGTCGGAGATGGAGGCTGTGTAAAGGACGGAGCTCGGTCGGAGCAGTAGATTTCGGGAGGAGAAGCCGAGATCGGGAGCAAGGGAATCGGAGGAGAGGAATTCTCGTGTGAGCAGCGATCGTGAATGGAAGAAGAGAAGGCGTCGGTCGTGTTTTATAGGCGTAAATGGGATCATTGTGCGAGGCAGCTCGCAAGATTTACGGGGCTTGGACATAAGCGGCGCCGATTTCAGCTGGATTTTGGGGATGCCTTCGACGGATACGAGGTACGGAGCGGGATTTGCGGAAGCGACTCTGCCAGCGGGATTCTTGGATCCGATAGGTTCCTGGTATGATTTTGAGTCCTTATTCTTCTTCTTTGGGTATAACACTAAGGTCAACACAAGTAAAACATATATACTTGTTCAGAGTGCATATCTTCTAATAATTTTCACAACTATGTAGGGACATGTTTGCTTTAACGTCCAAATGACTATCCAAGAAGAGAGATATTTGATGTATAACAGATTGTTATCGGGTCAAAGATGATTGACAGATGAATTTATACAGGGAGTTGAGACTTTCATTCAAGTTGCATCTCAACTGCCTTCCTTTAAGTTCGATGGAATGTTTAGATGTCCATGCTCGAAGCACAAAAATCAAGCATTCCTCAAGCCCGATGATGTGAAGGTTGATTTATATCGTAGAGGATTTATTCTAGACTACAGAATTTGGATCTCACATGACGAGTACGAGCCACACAGAGAAACTCATGCCGGTCCATCCACATCTTTTTAAAATATTTGATGAAAATCAAATGGCTAGACCGTATGAAGAACTTATTTTTGATGTAGCAGGCCCTAATTTAAGGGCTAGTGTGAAATAGCCAACAAATGCAGAAATCAAAAAATTCTTTAAGTTACTACATGCAGCTCAAAAACTAATTTGGGACGGTTGCAAAAGTCATTCGGAATTATCGATTGCAGTGAGGATGCTAAGTATCAAAACTGAATATAATATTCCTCGTGATTGTTTCAATGACTTCATTGATCTTTTAAAGGAAACTAATCCAATAAATAATTCATTAAATTTAATTCCCTCATATTTGTATCGAAAGAAGAAATTAATATACAAGTTGGGTCTCACTGCTACAAAAATTGATTGATGTATCAATGGATGTATGTTATACTATAAGGATGATGCAACAAAAGTTTAATGTCGCACTAGTATGGGGCCCAATGCGAAAAGTAAAGACCTGGCCAATATATATAATGAATGGGTTCAGATTTAATACCAAGTCGTGGAGTGAAGGAAGAAAAACTGAAAATTGTTAAGTATGTGTTAGAGGGAATATTCATGAAGAAGATGAGTGTGATTATTACGGTATTCTGAATGAAGTTGTTAACCTAGAGTACCCAAGAGAAGATGAGAACTTTGAATGCTTGTTTAACTGTCAATGGTATCATCCAGTACAGAATAGAGGCACAAATATTCATCCTGTATATGGTTTAGTAGGTGTAAAATATAGTAGAAGATACAGGAAGTTTGATCCATTTGTATTAGCAAGTCAAGTTTTTCAAGTTTATTTCAGCAAATATCTCAGTGATCATAGGGATAAACAAGATTGACTAGTTGTCATAAAAACAAAAGCACAGGGTAAAATTAATCAACAATACGTTGTAACAACTGCACATCAAGAGAATGAGATGTCAAATTATAGATCTGTTGAAATTCAGGAGATGCCAACTACAACTTATAGTATTGAAATACAGTTAGAAGATGTGAATAATTCAACAAGCTTATCACACGAGAACGAGGATGAAAGTGAAGATACTCTAGATAGCAATAAAAATATTTCTGATTCTGGGTAGTTTTTGTAATTTAGAATTATAATTTTTGTAATTTATATTATAAAATTGCAATTTTTGTAATATTTCTAAATATTTTTTGTACTTATAGAATTGTATTTTTTAAAATCAAATTAGTAAACATATCATTCTCTTGCTAAATGTCTCTTATCAAATTTATTTTGAATGTTAATCATTATAATGTATTATGTAATTCTTTATGTTTGTAATTCATTATTATGTATTTTGTAATTCTATCATTATTTCTGTTTTTTATATATTACAATAATTTACTAATTGCTTCTTTTATTGCATATGGCTTCAGGTAACGATCCTTCACCTCAAAATTTTCTCAAAAAAGTTGAGTGTTCCACCTAGCAGACTTAAACATCTTAATAAAAGTAAGGGTCGGCGATCAATTCCACCAATTATACCATCACCACCACCACCCAGGAGTCAGCAATAGTCCCCCAATGAGCAGGGTCAGGGCCAATCAAATCCACCTGTTGTTGGTGCACCACCACCCTTTCCTGGGTACTTCCCTCCTCCGTCGACGAGTCCTCGATTTCTCTCTCTATATCGGGCACATGTAGCTCTATTATATCCATATTAACCCACACCAGCATCACAAACTGGTCCATCCATCATGCCTTACCCTCCTTACCCCAACCTATATTATTACCCATATCCGGTGCAGCCAGAATACGGTGGACCATCTACACCAGCAAAGGTTGGTGCTAGGGATCTTGTAGCTGCAGCAGATAAGCATCAATTAGGGGTACAAACGAGTCGAGTCGAGCTTGAGCAAGGCAGTGTTTGAGTTGAGCTCGACTTTCAAATATCGAGCTCGAGCTCGAGCTCGAACTCGAGTTGAGCTCAAAATCCTAGCTCGAGCTCGACTCGTCTCATATGCCGAGCAGCTCGTCGAGCTCAATCGAGCTCCACTGTGAACTCCATCCCGAGTAGGCTTGTCAAGCTCAGTCGAGCTCCATTGCGAACTCCTTCATCGTCACGAGCTCGCCATCTGCTCCGCTCGTCCGTCGTTGAGTTCGTAGTCCCGTTCGCAGTCAAGATCCACTGAATTTGATCCAGCCGCAACGTCAAGATCGCGTCCGTCGTCGAGATCTAGATTTTTGACCTCGTCATTACATCCTCCATTGAGTCCAGAGCTCGTAGTTGCGGCCGCCGTCGAGTCCCAAGCTCATTCTCGCGTCCGCTATCGAGATCCAAACTCGATACTCGACGCCATTCGTCCGTCGAACTGCGAACTCAAGTCTCGACTCCGTTGTCGATATCCAAATTCGAGACGCAACCTCGGCATCGAGTCCCAAGCTCTGTCATTCGTTCGTTGAGCCTCGAGCTCATCGTCGTTGGGCGAAGCCCAACCTTCATTCATCATCCCGCTCGCAATTACCCAAATTTTTTTCCCGCCCACTCAGACACGCGAGCTAGTCGACGAACCAACGAGCCGAGTCGGAGGTCTGGTCAAGCTCGAAATGGTGTTCGAGCTCGACTCGCGAGCTCAATAAGCTCGACTCTTCGAGCCAATTACGGAGACGAGTTCGAACCGGCTCGCGAGTCGGCTTAAATTATTTGCACCCCTAGCGTCAATACATTGAGCCTAAGGGCAATACGTGAGTTCAATTTATTTTGTTAAGTTTATTGTAATTTGATATACTATATGTTATTGACAAAAAATTTAACCTGCAGCTTCAATCCTTCAAGCCCACCTACCCACAAGATTCAGGATATCATAACGAGCAAATATGATGCTCCTTACTTATCATGGAAGAAGATCTCAAAGGAAATTAGGAATATGTGGTTTAGAGAATTTCAGATATTCTTATTTGGCATGAATTAAAATATTTGATTTAATTTGTATTAATATTTTTTGTTATGACAATATTTTTTACAGAAAGATTTTAGATGGTTGTCTGAGCATAACACGAGGATCAGAATAAATTTTGAGAGGAGATGATCGATCCATCTTAGGGACATATTCACGGACATTAGAAAGTCCGGGCAGCGTCTAATATGGATTGGAGAGGGCATATGGGCCGATCTGAGTAGAGCTTGGGCGAGCCCTGAGTTCACAAAAATAAGAGAGCAGAATAAACAGAACAGAGCATCTGATTGTGAGGATTTAGGAAGCTCCCTTTATACTAGTGGATCTTTTTCTCATACGTAACATAGACGATAACTGGTAAAAGCTTTGAATTAGCTTAATAAATATTTGTATCTTATTTTAAATATATCTTCTATTTTCAAAAATAGTTTATTGACTGGGAGCCAACACCATTGGAGTTATATACGATGACTCACCAATATCAAGCTATCATCAATGGGTTGATGAAAAAGCTAAAAAAGCTCATGTGAGTATAATTTTTTGGAGTTTGACTAAAAAATCTCATTCTAATATTAATATATTTTATGGATTTATTCTCGTATGATGATTTTGTATGAGTTTGAGAAAGTCGTCAGTCTACTGCTAAGGGATCATCTTATCTTCAGGATCGACCCAGTATTTTGAGTATTATACATGGTCAGATGTTGTTGGAGGAAGGCA